TGAAAAAACTTACATGACACTGCATTTAAAACAGACATGAGAAGTCGCTGAGCATGTCACAGGAATAAGAAGCTACATTTAAAATTAAAGGCTGTTTATACATATGAGCTCTGAATAATCAAAATGTAAAATGATAACCTGTGGAGTGTTCATTAATTGCATTTTTTAAAGATTTTGTCATTATCTTTGTTAACTATTAAATTATTTTAATCATTTTTCTACATTTGCAAAATTCTAAACTTTCAAATACACCACGAAACTAAAGAACATCCATCCACAGAGTTTCACTAGTCTGAAAAAAGAAGGCAAACTGCGACTTATGAGTAGTTGATAATGTATTCTGGGTAAATTTGCTGCTTTTCAAAGACAACGTAAATGCTGGGTTTGCTCTCAGAGTCAACGCAACTATCGTAGAGCGTTTTTCCGTTTGATTTTGGCGGCGGGCGAACGTACGTGCTTCTCCCCTTGGTGTAGTCCCCTACCAGGACCAGGGCAACAAACATAATCTTGTTTGGAGTTGCTCTGACACTGGCGTATCTGTCAGAGTAAGATGCATCTTTGGCAAAGTAGCTCCCTAAAAATAAAAAAGTGTTACTGTTAATATAGTCCAAAGAAAAAAATGCTAGTGATTTAGTACTCAAGAGTTTTCAGGTGTTCATTTTGAGGAAGATGTATTCCTTTTATGGCTTTCCAGTATCAAATTTTAGCTACAATGTGTCCATTATACTACAAAAAGTTGCAAAGATTGCTTTGCTGTACCTTTGCCATAGGCTGTGCCATGGACCCCACACATCCTCCAGTCAAAGTTTTGCTCACAGATGGCCTCTATCAGAGACTCGTCAGTCCCGTGGAACAAATACATCATTGCGGGGTCTCCTCCGTTCCTCCCCTTCATCTGCTCTTTCTGCCTGAACACAGTGTATGCCATTTAAGTGGAAACTTCCTTCTTGCAGAGATTTGTGTGTAAAATCTTTCTGTCTGCATCCAGCTGCTTAATTTAGCATAAAGGCTTGATATGAGGGGGAAAGAAAACTAATAACCCCACCAGATAGCTAGTGAAGATTCAGCTATTTCCTGTGCCAGGCCAGAACTTAGGCTACGTTCACACTGCA